TACGTTCGTCGGCGTATACTCGTCGGTCCGTCCTCCGTACCCGTTACCGTACCGTCCGCCGGTACGTCCTACCGACGTCCTACGGACCGGTCGACGTAGAGAGACCTTACCTTCTCCTCCTCTCTCTCTCTCTCTCTCTCTCTAGAATAGAGAGGATCTGTCTCTCTGTCTCTAAGTTTTATTTTTGGGTTTTCAGGTTGGGTCCGGTGATCTGAGGAAGGGGAGGTTTGCATATTGGGAAGCGAAAATGACGATCAAACCAGCGGTTAAGATATCTGATCGCAACCTCTCGGTGAAGGGGAGGAGCATTCTGTTGGATGTGCCTGAAAATGTACTGCTCTCTTCCGCTTCCGCCTCTGGTCCGGCTGAGGGAGTGTTTGTTGGTGCCTTCTTCAACGATAGTTGCAGTCGCCAATTAGTCCCTCTCGGGACCCTCAGGTATATACATTATAGTTTATGCTCTTCGTTTTGCTTTCTTCTTTTTTTTTTTTCGATTTTGAGAGAGAACAAGTGTATTGTTTTTTATCTGAGAAATGGAAGAACAAATGTTTTGTTTTTTATGTGAAAAAATGGAAGTGGGTTGTTGCAGGGAGGTGCGGTTCCTGTCGTGCTTCAGGTTCAAACTGTGGTGGATGGCCCAAAAGATGGGCACCTGCGGCGGAGATGTCCCCCAGGAGACCCAATTCATGCTAGTGGAAACCGCTCAATCCGAAGATTCAAACGAGCCCATCTACGCAGTCTTCCTCCCTCTCCTCGAGGGCCCATTCAGAGCTTCTCTTCAGGGCAATGAGAGAGACGAGCTGGCTCTCTGCATTGAGAGCGGCGACCCGGCCGTCAAAACTCCATCTTCTCTCACTCACACGCTCTTTGTTACGGCCGGCTCCGATCCTTTTGCGACCATAGCGGATGCCTTCCGCGCTGTGAAGCAGCACCTCAAGACATTCCACCTGCGCACCGAGAAGAAGGTCCCCGGAATCGTGGACTGGTTTGGGTGGTGCACCTGGGATGCCTTTTACCAGGACGTCACGGCTGAGGGTGTTGCAGCTGGCCTGGAGAGCCTGTCATCAGGGGAAACGCCACCCAAATTCCTCATAATCGACGATGGATGGCAATCGGTCGGGGTTGACCGGCCCCAGGAGGAAGCCAAACAGCTCCAACGCCTCACCGGCATCAGAGCAAACCACAAGTTCCAGAACGACGTTCAGGGCATTGAGCACATCGTCCAGGTTGCCAAGAAGAAGCACGGCCTCAAATATGTATATGTTTGGCATGCCATCACCGGCTACTGGGGAGGCGTCAAGCCTGGCATCAAAGACATGGAGCACTACGGCTCCGCCATGCAATACCCAGCCATCTCCCCTGGCGTTGTGAACAACGAGCCCTGGCTCCAGACCGATATCATAACGACCCAGGGGCTGGGCTTGGTGAACCCAAAGAATGTGTATCAGTTTTACAATGAGCTGCACTCCTACTTGGCGGAGGCCGGGATCGATGGTGTCAAGGTGGATGCTCAGTGCATACTTGAGACCTTGGGCGTGGGGCTTGGAGGGCGAGTCCAATTGACCAGGCAGTATCACCAGGCTCTCGATGCATCTGTCGCCCGGAATTTTCCCGATAATGGCTGCATCGCCTGCATGAGCCATAACACTGATGCCCTCTACTGGTATGCATCCTCTATCTTTCCTTCGAATTCCCTCTCTGGCGCTTGAATTTTGAGTCGTGGGCTGTGTTTGAGTGAAAATTGGTTGTGCAGCTCGAAGCAGACTGCGGTGGTGAGGGCGTCCGACGATTTCTTCCCCAGAGATGCAGTTTCCCACACCATCCACATCGCCGCGGTTGCCTACAATTCTGTGTTCCTGGGGGAGATTATGCTCCCAGACTGGGACATGTTCCACTCCCTCCATCCGGCCGGCGAGTATCACGCTGCCGCCAGAGCCATCAGCGGCGGACCTGTTTATGTCAGGTAACCCCTCCCCCCCTCTCTCTAAAGTCTGTTTTGAGTCTTGAGGCATGTTATCTATCTGTGTACTGATGGCTATGTTTGTGTTACAGTGATTCTCCGGGAAAGCACAACTTCGATCTGTTGAGAAAGATTGTTTTACCGGATGGAAGCATTCTGCGAGCACGCCTTCCCGGCCGCCCTACTCAGGATTGCTTGTTTGCCGACCCCGCTCGTGATGGAGTTAGGTAAGCAGAGAACTCTCAGTTAATCACCATTTTCACCATTTTTTTTTCAATGGAAAGTAAAAATTTGTTTAGTATTTTTAAGTTTTGTGGGATGAGGTTTAATGGGGAAGATGTTTTGGTTTACAGCTTGCTGAAGATTTGGAACATGAACAAATTCACTGGAGTTTTGGGGGTGTTCAACTGCCAAGGTGCGGCGTGGAGCAGCGTGGACAAGAAGAATGTTTTCCATGAGACCCAAACCAAGACACTCACCGCATCTGTCAGACCTGGCGACATTCATCTCTTGCCTGAGGCCGCCCATGATGATTGGAACGGAGACTGCATTGTCTACAGTCACAAAGGTAATATTCTTCTCTCTCTCTCCCGGAAGCTCATCTCTCACTTTTATCCGAATTATTTGAAATTGGCTACATAAATCTTGTTTTTTGGGTAAAGTTTTAGTTTTGTACTCGTAGATTTAAGCTGATATCTCTATGCTGTGGCTCTTTATTGGTGCAGGAGAACTGATTCGCCTTCCCAAGAGTGCATCTCTGCCTGTTTCTCTCCAAGTCCTTGAACACGAGACCTACACCGTTACTCCTATAAAGGTAATTTACACGGAGAATAAACCACTATCTCATTCAACTTGTAATTCTTGTCTTTCCTGAAACAAAAACTTAGAGATTTATACGGTGCAATTCTTGTGTTTCATGAAACAAAAACTTAATATCTTGCGTCAACACTAACTCAAATGTGCTTCACAGGCTTTGGGCGGTGGGTTTGCATTTGCTCCATTGGGGCTCATCGACATGATCAATGCTGGAGGTGCAATTGAAAGTTTGACATACGAAATTAACAGTAGAGTGGAATTGGAAGCTGACTTTGGTGCAGTGGAAGGGGAAATGAGGGGCTTGTCTCTTGAGAACAAAGGCAATGAACCCATCGCCACAGTAAAGTTGCAGGTCAAGGGGTGCGGTAGGTTCGGTGCTTACTCGCCGTCCAAGCCCAGGTCCTGCTCAGTGGGTTCAGAGGAGGTTGGGTTCTCTTACGATTCAGCCACTGGCCTTCTCACTCTAAACTTGGAGATGCCAAAAACTGGACGGTTCCATGATGTGGTCATCCAAATTTAGAGAGAGAAGGTAGGGTTCAAGTAGAGAGAGGAAATAAGATGAGAGAGAAAAGATAGAGAGAAAAGATAGAAGAGAAATGGGGTTTTTTCCTTTCCTTGTATGGGAGGAATTTGTAGTAAGAGAATGTAGGAAATAATTGTAACGGGGAAGTAGCTCGGGCATTCCCCTCTTTTAAGGTGGATATATCTTTTCTGTGTATTAAATTGGGTTTTCTAAAAAATTAGGGCATTCTCCTTCTTGTATGAGTATATTTCTTGTGAATTCTCCTTCTCTTATATGAATATATTTCTTGAGCACTATTTTTTCTTTTATTTTTTAGTATATTTCTTGACCACTATTTTTTCTTTTATTTTTGAGTGATTGAGGCAGCGACATTTTTTCTTTTATATTTGAGTGATTGAGGTAATGATATTTTTTCTTTTATTTTTGAGTGATTGAGGCACGGATTTTAAAATTTTATGTAAAGTATGACATGCTCGACTTTAAAAAAAAAAGTTAACCTGTTCGTTTTTTTTTTTTTTAATTGTTTCTCTATTAACCTGAATTTTGATTTATTTTATTTTATTTTTTGTTATAGGCTCGTGCTTTAAAGTTTCGGACTGCTGTACTAACCAAAAAAAAAAAACTTAAAAAAAAAATTAAAATTTGAGATAACTAAAAGGCAATTTTGAAAAAAATAAAATAACAAATTGAACAATCTTCTTTGTTTTTTCACCTATAAGCTTAGCATTTTATACTTTACCTAATTTTTTGTTTTTGAATGTTATCATGCCACGCACTATACAATTGCCTTTCTCTTAATTCTTTTTTGAAAGTTATCATGCCACGCACTATACATTTGCCTTTCTCTTAATTTTTTTTTGAAAAGCCTTTATATAAGGTTGCAACCTTAAAATGTAAAATTACACCTCAAAAATCTATCTGAAAATGCTGTTTTAATGTTGAAAAACCCTGCAATTGATCATCTCGACATCGAGATGTATGATATGAAAGAAAAAAAAGATTTGACTACTAGAAATAGTATATCTTGTAATATATTATTTAGACCGTCTATTTTCAAGATTTTCCATATGTTTATTGATCTATTTGATTTTAGTAATTCTTTTAGTTTAAAATGTTATAACTTAAGTATAAATATAGATTTTTAGATAATTTAAATAACGTTTTACACTAAAATTATATGATAAAATTTGAAAATACATTTTAATTAGATTATTTAAGGTTGGAACCTTATAGAAACCACACCCTTTCTTTTTTGATTTAGTCAAATCTCGAGGCACCCTTTCTTTTTTGATTTAGTCAAATCTCGAGGCCTCATAAAAAAAAGCTTTCGTGGTTTGGCACTCGAGCACTCGTAAACAACATTCATCCTCTATTCTTGTTAAGAAATAGGAAAATTAGTGGTAGGGCTGGCAATGGGCGGGGCCCCAAAACTGAGAGCTTGGGCATTTCCTCTTTGGCCTAGTTGTTTTTCTATTTTATTTATTTTTGATGTGGCCCGGCTTTAAGAAGTTACAGCCGGTCCTATTGAGCAAGGGTAGGGCCAAAGCTAACGATGACCGAGCCCTTAACTAATAGTGGGTTGGTTCCTCTCCTTTTCTATTAGGTAATAGGCCAAAGGTAGGGCCAAGGCTAATGAGTTGGTTACTCTTCTTTTCTATTGGGTAAGTGGGTCATGCAAAAGCCAAGATTGTCAAAACCTAAATACATCATTGAATGTTCAAAAATGTATCATCACATACATCCAAAGCATAAATAACAATTAAATTGGGTGATCATAAATAAATGCCGTGTTTTGTCCAACTTGGGGTATACAATGAGGCCATTGACATTTACTCTATGTAAAAAGAGAAAGTTCAGTTTTTCTATTTTTTATTTTTTATTTTTTTTTCTTTTGAAGTTGATCAATAAAATATATGAAACCTATTAATTTTACATTTAATGGTCAAAATTAAGTGTGACGACTTTGTAATGGATGGTCTCGATATGTACTGGCACAAGAGACCACCAGTAAGGACCAATTTCGTGGGTTTCGCTTGGAACACATGTCGCCTCCTAGTTCAGGTGGCCCCATTTCTTTTGGCATATCCAAAAGATCGTTAAGCTTACAAAGAAGGAGGTTGCGTTTTGGCCCAAGAGTGAAAACAAAAAAATTTAGTCATAAGGATCCTACGAAGGTTACAATGACAAAATGTACAAAACCTGTCTGTTCCAAATCTGCTTGCCTTTTTCTGTAGATCTCTCTTTTTCTTTTATTTTTCTTGCATTGCTTTCTTCTGGAGAGTCCAAAGTTTGATGCCTGCCACTTTAGGTCTACTCTTCGATTCCTCTCTCTCTCTATATATATATATATCAACCTAAGTGCTTAATTTCATGGGAGTTCTCAAACCTACAAGGAGAGGACTTTCAAATCCAACTGTTAGAAAATTGAGTAGCCAAATATGCTCTCTGTACTTTATAATAAGAAAAGGACGAAGTTAGCATGCAGCCAGCTCGCATATTATAGAAATGCAGGCTTGGCAATAAATATATTTTTTAAATATAATTTAATCCTTATTTTTAGAGAATATGTAATCTTTAACGTGGAGATCATGAATATGAAAAAAAAAAAATTAAAAACTTGAAATAACAATTATATCATATCAAGAGAACATTTGGATTGTTAGTTGCAATTTTTTAGACAGACTATCTATTAAGATGGATGCTTTATACCTTTGGACCGCATATGGTAGAAATGCAGTCCAGTCCGTATGAAACAATTAGTTATAAGAAAAAGTAATGGTTGAATAAAATATAGATTTTGGTGAGGCCAGGGCCTTATGAAAATTGGTAAGGCCACACTTGAAAAGCCCAATGAAGAAACCAAATTAGGCATAATAAACTTTGTGATGACATGCAAATCTACTTCTTCCAACGCTAGGGAATTTGAAGTGCTGGCTACTTTATTAGACTTGAAATGGATTGTCTATAAAAAAGAAAAGAGAAAAATTTCATGATGGAGCATTATTAGAGCTCAAAATCCGTTTTTTTTTTTTTTAAAGATAAATGATTGTTGAGGTAAAGATTATCGTTTCATGTTTTCAATACCAAAACTAAATTTGAATTGTAGCTTTATAAAACAATGGCTTCATGAATTTTTTTTTTCAATCAATGAAAACAAATATCATCTTCGGAGAGATTTGATTGTCTCGCTAAATTACCTTCAACACATTATCTTTTGCCTAAAAACATATTTAATGGAATTTTGTATCTGAAAGTTTTTCAATCATGGAGTCAATACTACCATTAAAAAATAATAGAGCTTAGTAGCTAGTAATCCCAATTTCCCTTGAATAATGACTCTTGTATCCTCCATATGAGGAAAAATCAAATATAGCACGTTTGGGGCTCAATTGTTTTTTTCTTGCTTTTGAGTTTGTTTCTATTTCGAACCAGAGATGATGTGAAAACTCAAGATAAAAATGTTGTCATCGCTATGTTTCGAATCAGAGATGATGTGAAAACTCAAGATAAAAATGTTGTCGTTGCTATGTTTCTTGAGCATGAGACTATGTACCCACCATTCTTTTGTTTAAGGGTGCGGTTTGTGTAGAGCTGAGGCTCTAAACAATAGTAGAGCGCACCTTCAAATAGTGTCTAAAAATGTGGTTTAAAAAGTATAAATATTTGTGGCAGCATTAAAATATATTTTCAACTTTAATTATAAAATATAAAGCTTCAAAAGTAGTGTAGATCAAGTATATCGATAAAAACTTGAAAATCTTGAAAATTGATGGTCCAAAAATGCATTACAAGATGCACTATTTCCAAAACTTTAAATCCAGTTTTTTCTCATGTCCCTGCATCGTGATGCCGAGATGATCAATTTGAAGATACTTGGGCATCAAAACAACCTCCTCTAGTAAAACGTTTTTAGGTGGGCTCTAATTTGATTGTTTAGAGCCTTGGCTCTATATAAACTTTTTTCTTTTTTAATACAAACATTAGAGAAGACTTAATTCTTCATTGAACAAATAAATTAAAGCGCTAACCATCTTAAAAAATCATTAATGTGATCAAATTGTCTTATTTGAGTCCCTTCTTCAACAATGAGAAACCTTGAAAAGTCAATGCGGTTTGGTAATTTAGCCCCAAATATGTTGGTTGCACCAAGTCATGAAACTGATTCTAGCTATTTAAGGTTAGCAGCACGAAACAACTAAATGATAATACAACTCGTTTCATTGGGTTAGCAACATGTTATACAATTTTTTAATTATAAATCCCTGTTCAACCAAGGGTATTTTTATAAGAAAATAGAACTGAGAAAGAGATAAACGCATGTCAATAGAGACATATACATGGTTCGGTTGTTCAACCTATATCCACGAAAGAGGAACAACCTTATTTCATTTATAGGATTATAATAGTTCCTCACCCTTACGTATAGATATAAGATAAACAAGAGTCAAAGGAAATCCCATGATACAAGCTTAAAGCAATGAAGGATCCCATAAATAGGCTAATTACAACACAACTAGATAAGGAAAGAATCAAAGCCGCTGGTGAAACATAGCTGGCATGGTTGGCACGACTAATATCCTTCTGCAATCTTCTCTACACTCCCCCTCAAGTTGGGATTGAAAAATGTCAAAGGATCCCAACTTGGACAAAATTTTAGAGAATTTCGACTTTGTGATAACTTTAGTAAATATGTCTGCCAATTGATCTTCACTTCGAACAAACAGAGTGTCTATGAATTTAACTTGAACCATATCAATTGCTATGTGTTTTGTTCTTTCATGGAAGACCGGATTAGAGGCAATATGGATAGCAACACGATTGTCACAAAATAGTTTCATTGGTAACATTGTTTGAATGCCCATATCATGAAGAGGATACTATAAGCAAATCAACTCGCTTGTTGTTGACGCCATGGGTTTGTATTCAACTTTAGCACTGGAGTGAGCTACAACACTTTGTTTTTTACTCTTCTGGGTGACTAAACTTCCTCCTACCATTGTACAATTGTAGACTTTCTATCATTAGGGCTACCAGCCCAATCAGCATCAGTATAGCAAAGAATATCAATATTGCCATTACGTTTCATTAAAATACCTCTTCCTGGGGTAATTTTAGGTACTTCATGATTCTATTAACGGCTTCCAAATGAACAATTCGAGGTGAATGCATAAATTGGCTTACAAGGATAATAACATGAGTAAGGTCAGGCCTTATAATAGTAAAATAAATCAATTTTCCAACTAGTCTTTGATAATGGCTAACATCATGAAGTAATTCTCCCCCTGAGCTAGTT